AAAGAGATGAATAATTGATGGAAAGAAATTTTCTAATTTTCTATTATTGAAAGAGTGAAAAGTAGGTATATAAACAGGATAATTATAAAAATTATTCAATAATAAAATGAAATATAAACGATAATGTTTCCCGACATGTACCGAATAGAATTCGTCCAGGGATTAAAAATAATAGTATAACTTTCTTATCTTAAATATATAAGTTTTGAAGGTTTCAAATTTATTATTACAATTTTACTCCAATTATTACGCAATGTTTGAATCTGAATATTTGGTATAAATGCCATATTTCAAACGTTGAAACTTCCGTCATGAAACTTAGAAATAAGTGTCAATACATGTATCATAATATATTTCAATCTGTGTACATACCTTTACCATTCTTACAACTTTCACGCTATTTATTTTTTATTGGATCTCTATAAATTTCTGATTTCTAAGTTTAAGAGAAAGCTACTTTTAAACTTGATTAATTTTATGACATCGCGATATTCCTTCCATTGATTGTATGGCGATATATTATATTATCCATGATTTGAAAATCGGGTAAATAGAAGAAAAATAAACTTGGAAACAAATTCCTTTTCCTATGATACATCTCTTAAATATTGAAATTCATCGATAAACCTATCGATGTAATCACAAATGTCGGAAATACTTGTATGGAAGTTTGCTTGCATAGATAATCAAAAGTCTTACTTTGATAAGTTATTAATACGATAAATTTACTCGAAAAGGCGTTACGTTAACAAATGATTTATACGGTCTTCTATAATAATATCATATTATTTTAGCAAACAGATTAATCTAAATGGTGACTGTGTTGTAAACAAAATAATCGAATAAGTACTTGATCACTTCTATGCGGTAATTACTCCAATGAGTAGACATCTGTGGCTTCAGTGGTACATTTTGAGAAAGTGACAGTGGATTAGTTATTTTTATATCCTGTACTAATATCGAATCAAGTATTCTATGAGCATAATATTGGAATTCCATGTAATATCCTTCTCTAAGACACAGATAACGATAAACAATCCCATTTGTAAAGTGAGTAACTGTAGCTTCACGATAAAAACTGCTTTTGAGCAAAGGATGGAAAATTAGTGGCTGCCACTGTACAGGCAACGATAGTGCTCGGCCTCGTTTTATGTATATTAAAGCTTCTGGTAAAATAGGAATTGCAAAAATTCCATTGCCAATATATGGCAAATAATGATGCTCTCCAACCTTTGGTGGGTTATGGAGGATGTTTACATTATACTCCGCAATATCTAAATGGAAGGGAGCTAGTCTTTCGTTCATACAACGATCCTCGATTGCTATAAGAACAAACTACGTTATTACACAAAATATATATTGTATATATGAGTTCGCGGATATTAGACACTTCAGATCACTGAAGAGTATTTCTTAATATGCCACTTGCCTAATGTTATTCTTTTCTTAAGAATATTGCATTTTGCTTTGTCTCGTTATCTCCATGACAGAATCAAAATATACATATTTACTTTTATACTCTTACTCTTATTCACTCTCACTTTGATAGTTGAAAAGTTCGATAACTCTACAGGTCGAGTGCAATGCAAAAATGAAAAGACAGCTAGCGGAGAGGAATACTGATCTAAATGTAAGTAACAGGATAGTAGGATATGCGTATAAAGGTATTGTACATAAATTTTCATTACGCTCATACGAAAAATGTCGCATCTACATCGTAACACGAGATACATCGGGACCAAATGAGAGACTGCGATAAAGCATTAGTGTAGATACAGGATCAGCATTAATTGTTTAACAAAAAAATAAAGACAATGCTAATGTAACATACATAATAAGTATGCTAATTACTACTATGTCAGCATATAGCAAAGGTGAAGCGAGGTAGAGCGAATCGAATACACCTTTTGAACTTGAGCCGTCACGCTAACCATCTCCTCATCTTTGCACTGTATAAGCTTGTAAGCTTGTAAGCTCCTTTTTCTTTTATTCTCTACTCTAAAAGTATCCACAATTGGCCAATATTCGTGAACTCAGATACAAGAAATAACAATACAAATAACGATAACGATAACGATAACTTTTATATAAAATGTTTAAGTAATAAACCTCAGCATTTTCAAGCACATTTGAACTTCAATTTACATTGCCATAAAAGTATTTTACATCGAAAGTATTGTACATATTACAATTGGAAAAAAACTGTAATAACAAATATACGGGTTCTCTATCGTCCTAAGTATTCATTGACAAAGTATTTTCTGCTACTGGAACTAAACCGTTGGTTACGATATGCATGTTTCGTGAAATATTGTGGAATAGGTACATATCTTATTAAGACAGTTGAAATATATGAAAACGAAAATTTGATATAAATATTTATTTACAGTAACATATTTATAACGAACGACGTAATTTCGAGGGTTACAAATATTATAAATGCGATAAAGAACTATATGTAAGATCATGATAGTAAAAAGTAGCGAATAACAAAAATTATAAAATAAAGAAAGAAGATATTGGTGAGTGTGGTGGTGTACAGGAATGAAAATATAGTTTGAAAAACGGCAGAAATCTCCCGAATCTATCCTTCCTCGAAATCTTCAGAGGAATTTAGATGCATATTCAATTATAGTAAAAAAATGTGGAAATCATCTACATTTCATATAAAGTGAACGTTTAATGTGACGAATAAACAAAGTAGACTCTTATTGAGAGCTGACTCCTATTTTAAAAACTTCAACTTGTTCGGTAAGAAAAGAGCAGTCTAGCATTCGCCAATTTCTTTAACAACATTTTGAAACTTGAAGAATTTAACCGTTAAATTAGTTCAAATACTTGAACCTTTATGTTTCACCTTCATTATGGATAAACCATTCGTAGATGGAAAATGCAACGATACATTCGGTAGGTTCGCTTCCAATAACATATGCTGATATGGTAGTACAATAGGCTTAAATCTTAATATTGTGAATCTGCGTATACACTAATACTTTGTATCGCTTGCCGTCGCTAGAATGTTGAAATTTATGCAAGTATGATATGGAACGAACATGTAAAATTCACATGAGATATGTAGGAATGGAACGAGTGCGGCCATGAAAAAATGTTAAGAGGGCGAGTGGCCGAGTGCGAAAGGATCGATTATAAGGGACACCTATAACAGAGTCGAGTGCAAGCAACGAGCAAAAGTTTAGGAATCCGTCCTGAATGTTTCAAGTACTGTGAGAGGTCAGTGAATTTCCAGCGTGGCAATATGTATCAATGAGTGTTTGAGAGACCGTGTTAGCGAGTAGAATTAGTCTTACCTTATTTGTTATTTGTTATCTTTGAAATATATAATATTTATTAATCATTATCGGTGTTACTGTTTGACAGAATATACATATACCTATTCAATCCTGTGTGTGACCCCTCTCCCCTTAACAAAGTATACAATAACAAGAATTATTACACCAGGAAAAAATATTTTCACGATTAATGATGGGACACTTATATCGTACAACAACAAACTAATCCTTTAACACGTTGACGCCGGCGCCCGAATTCACTGTCTTTGCTCCGTGTGTAGGGCGGCGACCGAATTCAGTGCCTGCCCGTGGGGCGGCGCAGCGCCAAATTATACTATTCAACATAATACCAACGCGGTAATACCCACTAGATGATTCTTATAGATCTCGACGAGCTAAAAACGAATCTGATATCAGTTTTTCTCCATCACTCCAAGTTTTTGAGAAAATCGATTTTGGAGATCGCAATTTTTCAAATTTGACTTTAATTTATAACAAAACTACAAAAGCTATATGATTCCTGTTGGATTCAATGAATTCCGTGCAGTTCAACTAATACATTCGTATACAATAGTTTGGCAATATCAATTTGCATATACCTGTAAATGTTAAGTAAAGTTGACGGGACCAGTTTTGGCTCTAATTTTGGAGTACTCTTTTCGATTTTTCTCAAAAAGTAGAAGCTTGGCGCGAATTCTGACCATCGCACGCAATTTTGTGAACATTTTTCTATAAGAAACGTTCATAGTGCGAATGAAAAAGTCAAAAAGTTTGTTAACTTCGTGGAGGAAAAAAAAATATTCGTGCACGTTCATCGGAGAACGATCGCAGGCGTAAGGAACATGCACGACGAAAATAATGTTAGGATAATGCTACGAGGTAGTGTAAGCTTTAGTCGTAAGTTATGTTGAGTGTGAGCGGCAATTTCGTCGAACCCCCGATTGACATGTTTGAAACAATTGCATCAAAAGATTAAATAATTATGTTCAGTTTATGAAATTGAATTTTTATGTTTTTACTATTGAATGTTTGTTCATAATGTTGAGGTAAAATAATATAAACCTATTTTGTGAAATATAAGTGTGACCCACCGTAATGCTCGCTGCCTCACGGAACAGACATGTGTGACCCACCGGTGGTGCACGGCGACGTCAACGTGTTAAAGTTGTATAATTGGACTTTTCAGCCTCTGATATAACATCCACACATTCTCACAATAAAATTCATTAGAATCGTTAGAATGAGTGATGAAGAAAATATTTACAACATGTACAGAGGAGTTGAAAGAAAGGGAGGGAAAAAGTGAAAAATATGCAAGAATATGCAAGAACGTACAAGAACTGGAAAGAAGAATGCGCAAATTAGAATGGAAGAAAATGTATTGACATTTTTGGTTTAATTGTTATCGACGGAGTGGTTGAGAATGATGGCAGACCTCTGGCGCTAAATGTCAGATCCAAGTGTGCGTGGATCTGTGCGTCGTTCTTTTGTTTCTTTGTCTCTTCCCGTTGCGCTTCATTGTTTCGCGAAATCGGCCACGTGGTGACATATAGAAAGTAATACATGTAAACGGAAAGCGTACTTAGTTTAATACCTTTTGCTTTTCTGTCCTGTTGTTTTCTTTTCTTTAACAAAGTAACATAGTAGGCAAAGCATGGTTCAGTGCAAGTTTAAGAAGAAAGGAGAAGAAATTTTGTGACAAATTTAGTGCTGCGAAAGTTGACCTTTTGTGAAGTAACGATTTTCGTTCAAATGGAACGGAACTATGGAAACTAAGCCAGTATTACCTACGCTGTTGGAAGAAAACTTTCAAAGGTGCAAGTTTTCAAGATGTTTGAAAACTTGGGAGGTTTTTTTTGATTTTGTGGATGAAGATGCGGCGAGCTGACCCGCATGAAGAAAAAATGACGCAAAAGCACGTAGCATTCTGGTCTGGATACTTGCAAAGAAGCATGATTCGGTGAATGAGCTATGAAGAAAACTGGTAAGCCTTTTTGAAATTGCCACGACAAACAATAAAGTATCGCTCGAGTATTATAACTACAAATTCGAAAACGATATAACAGTGGCCACGTATTTAAGTGGTCTAAATGTCCTTCTGCAAAAATTCTCATCTGTAAATGTAGATTGTTGATAACAAATCCGTGATTTCTAAGATTGTTGATGACTTACCCTTAGAATTTAATATCTTCCGGAATATACGGAACTTATCTTCGGCCGCTACACCAGACTTATCAAAACTTATTTGAGAACAGAAATTGTTAATATTTGAGAACAGCCTCGAGAAAAAGACAGACATCAAGGTTGAAGCGTTTGTAGCAAAGGGTCAAAAGGGTATGAAGAGAAAGAAAGATAATTACGGGAACGCAATCACATGTTTCGGCTGCAAAGAAAAATTCGACAAAGTTCAATTCGACAGGTAAACAAGAAAATTCAAAATTACAGTAAGTAACTGGCGTTTGTGTAGGTGCGTCTGAGAGAGGTGAGTTCAACAACGGTACTATCAACAAAGTTTGATACGCTGATAGCGCAGCTTCGTTTCATATGACAGAGAATTTGTGCTGGTTTGATGAAATGAGAAATCACCTGAACCGATAAACGTAACTATTGCAAATATCAGTGTCATGCAGGCTGTAGGTTCTATATTTGCCAAAGATGGGACCAACCAGTTTATTCTCCATCGAGTGCTTGTGACAAAGAACTCGAAATCTTTGCTGATACCAAAATCATTGGTCTAAAGAAGAAAAATTCCACAGAAAGAAAGACTAAAGAAGCGAGAATAAAGATAAAAGTGTTGGGAAACAATGTTCGTTCAGGATGACTTAGCAATAAACAGTACCGTAAATAATTGACTTTTCAAATTAATTTCTTTGAACAAATTTTACCTTTTTTTTTTCTTTTTTTCTCCTATATTTGTATATCGAATGTTTAATATATACCAAAATACCAAATACGGATAAATCAAAATTTTGAATTCCACGATGTTGAAGAAATACATTTAGTTTAACAAGAAAAATCAATCTCGTATATGA